GTCAAATTTGTTATGTTACAGTGTTTGAGAGTTTATACATGGTCTTCATACTTCATGTAATGGGTAGATACTTCATTCATAAAACTGTCAGTCACAGCAGATTCAACTTATTCAGTGCATTAGTCAGTTGATTTGATTGCAAGATATCTTCCAAGTGTCATAATTTCAATTAAAATAGTAATAATTTCCTAAAAATAATAATTTCAAATCCGAAATAACTGTGGGGATATCTTAACCGTCCACAACTAATATTTTTATTTAATTGTATTTGTTCAGTCAAATATTACTGTCGGTTACTGCTGTACACCAGATGATTTACTTACTCAATGTGCCTTTAAGAATGTTTTATCGTGACTTTTCATGTAAATCCTCTAGTTAACTGGTACTATGAATACTGTGAATGCAATATTTCTCTGCATAGAGCTTTTGTGACAATATGGTGTTTCTGATGTTTTGCTTACCATCCTTAAGCCTATTACGCTATTCCACCTGTACCATGGATAGTTTCAGCAAAGATGACGTTGATATTAACAGAATAAAATCTTGTTATAAGTGTGTACATAACAAATGGTTTCTTAGTAATACTGTTCTACTATATGATTACGGTGGCTGTAAAAATCACCTCTATATAATGAAAATAATTAAAGCCCTAATATGGTGCTCAATATTACTAGATACTGTCGTTGAAATTGGTTTACGACCGAAGGTTTGTAATTGCTTCAAAATTTTCGGCCAGAGAGGTTTTCTTGGAAATCTGCAAAGTCTTCTTTCCTTATGGAGTTCAAAAGTTACTAATTATTTTTGTTAAGACTATAGTGGATAATGTATGCTCACAGTGATTGCATTTTGTGGTTTCGGAACTTGGAACAAAAATTTACGAAGACTCTCAGAGGACAACACTTCGTGAGTAATGCAATGAAGGTAAATTTGCCTTGAACTACTTACAGGAGTGTTAGTCAATAGTGGCCAATCAGGTTCAATAGTCGACTTTGTTCTCTTGTGGCGTAGAGCTCGGTTAAAATCCGCATATTTCCAACCTTAAATATGTTATCTAAAGGAGCATTTTGTGTACTTTGGCAACTCGGTCACTATTTTTGAGTAGGCTAGGTCATTGTTTTACCTTATAGTGTCGTTGATATACGGTCCTACTTTACAAGCGGTCAAGCCGTCATAGTTAAACTCTGGTAGAAAGAAGCTCCTTATTGACAACATCAGAAAGCTCAATATATCGTATACACTTCAAAACCTATTATAATTTCAAATGATTGTAATCATTTGCTGTTGCATATGCGCTATTATTTGATGTATATTACCGCACAGAACAAACCATAATGTCGGCTGATAGTTATGATTTAATCATATAAATAAACAGAACTCAATAGGCTTACGTGAACGTATTCTTAGTAGAAACAAGAGTCTAGCGTAAGATGCCACCTGGAGTAGATACCATTCTATATCAATATCTTAAACCTACACCAAACACTACTATCCGATAAAAAACCGTAACAAGCTTCTTGGTAAAGATCAAAAATGATAACAACCATACTTGTGTATATGTGTACATTAAAGTCAGTTATTCCGGAAAGTATAAAGGTCACATCCACATGACTTTTATGCTATAGTGTTAATAAAACATTTAGGATAATGTAAATTAAGGACTTAATACTTATTAATGTTATCGCTGGCTTTAATCCGACTATTTATGTCAACTTCGTGAATATATTGACCGATAGCATGGCTATCTCAGAAAAAACAAATTTCCTTGTTTGCCTTAGGTGTTCGAAGAAATGATCCATGACATTGTCAGAAAAGAGCCTCCGTAGTGTAGAATATTCACATCAATCTGACATCGTCGCTGCAAGTGATAACAATATTAGTCCTAGAATCTCGTTTATATTTATTCTTCACATCAGAATACAAGAACTAGAAAGTTCTTTACAACAAAGATGACGATTAAGGCTACACGAAGTTCTAATTCAGTTTGAGACTTATAGTTAATATTTCTTTGCATGCTACATGTGTCGGCTTGATGTGAATTTTTCAGACAGCGGAAACAGTATGGAAAATCCACAGTACCCAAATTTCATTTTCCACAAGTTATGACTAACCGGATCAACTAGGTAATACTCCAGTACAGTAGGATACGAATTCTGTCAGTTAAAAAAATATGAGTTCCTGATATTTTGCTGACATACATGCGACTGTTTCCGACAGTTTCACCTATAACGGTGAAGACAGTTTATCATTACACTTTTCAGTCTTAAGAAAGTAGGTATATACTAGAAAAAACAGTTTTCCAAGTGTCATGGAAAAATTCCACTTTTTAATTGCATGAGTCATGGTGTTATTTACCAGAAGGTTCAATTAACTATTATAGCATGGATTGAGTAACCCGAGGACATACCGTGAAAGATATCAGCAACCTTTTGAAAGTGTTTTAGCGATGAAAACCATGCAAAATGCTGTCGGTTGTCTTACATTAGCTCTTTACAAAGATACTAGAATTAGAATCTATATACCTTAGATCATTATATTATTGTGACCATATATATACTTTGAATTTTCTAACAACAGGAAAATCCAAGCTCAATAACTTATTTCGTCTCAAAAGATGTATTTATTATACATTACAGGCCAATTTGTTTTTCTATGTCAAGTAAGGTTCAATCCGTCCCAACCGCGTCCGTTGGTTGTGGGATCTCGAGGTGGATTTATCCGCAACGTTTCCATGTAAGCCTAATGTATCTACTTATCTTATTATTGCAAAGTCGGATTTGGATTTGAGGAATGCAACTTTTTCAGTATCTTGAATACATTTCTTTGCACAAAACAGTTAAAATTCAAGTGAAGTTACGTCATGTGAAAACTCGAAAGCCAGCCATCCAGTTTACAGATGTTGAGGGAATTCTTGGGAGTTTTTAAAAAATTTTGGGGTTTCACTCAAAGTCGCGTGAAGGTTCTCTGTTTTGTTTAGGTCTTGGGAAGATCTAGGTAAATCCTGAAGTTTCTTTGATCGTTTTGGAGATTTTCCTAAAATACTATAAAATTCTGGAGGAAAACCTTGACCAGAGTTCTTGTCGCATTCTTCCAAAATTTACTTAGAACATATACATTTTTTCGTAAAATTGGTAGATTGGGCAGTATCCTATTTAACGGTTAAAGATACTTTGAATACAATGGAACCGAGCAAGAATGATATTTTTTATGCCGCGAAAATTGTATCCCACAAGAAGGTGATAACTGCTGTGGGAAACATTATATTTAAAATTAGGTCAAGATAAATAAACTTGAGGTCTACGTTGAGGGATAAAAGCGTCATACTTGAGCTATTTTGGGATATGGCCATGATGACTGATCGAGTTTTAAGCTATTTGTCTTTGCTAGGAAAAGCAAGGTTATCATCCATGTTTGGTGTCAGAGAAGCCAATTGTTTTGAAAAGCTTCTCAGTGCTAAATTGCTTTCAATAGCTGTTTAAGTATTACAAGGAGTGAATCCTCTAGCTGGATTATAGTGTTATATTTACTGTCAGATAGGTTAATACACCGTCTCAGACAACAAAACTTTCAAACTGTTATGTGATAAGTTCGAAAAGCTTAGTTTAGTAGTTGCAGATGAGACGCAATCCCACAAATACCCTGGTATGGCCGAGAGTGGTGTGGGTCCGCCCTACCTCGTGAAATGCTCTCGCACGGCCACGCGTATACAGCCTCTGCCAGGGAAGCCCTACTCACTGCTTTCTCGTGGCGGGGGTGTTGTTTACGAAAATGAGAGGATAAAAAGCGAATTCTATCGTCCCAGAGAATTCCACGTCGTGCATTATTTGCCGACGGTGGGACTGGTTGGAAAAAGCGGAGAGGTGGTTAGTGTATGACATGGTGTCCTGGTATGAAAGAAAGTTGCAAAGGGCTGACTTGTGTTGGTCCTTCACGACTCCCTAGCTGGGATCAGAGAGATGGTGCAACACAGTGGCTAGAGACGTTATCAGATATGGCTGAGAATAGAAGCCAGTGGCGATGATGCTGTAACCTTTTACTTTCTCCATAAAAAGTGGTTGTATCTTCCTTAACTGAAAGAATTGTTTCTGGTTGTACCTTTCCATTTGCTCCATTATTATTATTTTTTTCATTATTATTATTACACTACCTTACACTAATCTGTTCGTCACTGTTCTTTTTTTTGCTCTCCTTACCTTCTTTTTTTCCTCTTCGAATTCTCGTTGTTTTGTGTGGCGCATATATAATAGGTGTCGCTTGTACCAATATTTATGTGTTCAAATAAATAAATAAATTTAATCAACTTTCTGTAACATTTTGTTGTCCATGTCTTAGAAAACTTAAATGCCTTTTGAATATAATAATCTTGTCAACATAATTGTTTATACGTTAGATTTAAACAGATTGGTTTTGATCACCATACAATGGGTAAAGTTCACTAACGTTAATTTACTATAGTGGAACATTAAAAAGAGATGTCAACCCTAGCTTCCACTCGTTCTGTAGTCGACCAAACTAAAAACAGTAAGTCCATGAGAAATGAGGTTACTGAAAATATTTTTTTGACCTTTATATGAATTAGTACAAAAACTCTACATAGGTTGTCTGAAGTACCTGTGTTCTTACTTGAGATTGCAAATAGTGCTCATCAAAAGAGTAAACGACGATATAGCAAACGAAGTACATTGAATTATTCTTTGCATATTACCGCATTTTATTAGAATTCATGACAAAGTTGATATTCGAAATTCCAGTTCTGCACATACATTTGAAAAACTACTAGGTTACGTATCCAGTGACTTCTTAGTGTTTCAACCATGTGATTGTTGCAAATAATAATCAAATCTATACAATATTCATAATACTTACATGCTAGTACGAATGTCTTATGACTTTAACACTATCTTTCCATTCATATAGATTAACATATCTAGATGTATGATTATCTGGATGTCTTCATTGGAACTCAGCTTTAATACACATTATCTGAGAGTGGCCTTCGGAAAATGGAGATCAAAGTCGGTAGCCCAATTAGAATAGAAGATGCATTTTATGTACCTGAAGAATTGTATCGTCAGTACAAAGAGATGAATATATCGAGTATATTTTCTTGGCAAGCTGAATGCCTTAACTTACCTGGTGTGCTTGGTAAGCCATGTGGTTTCACGAACATTTCAGATGGTCATAAGAATCTTGTCTATTCAGCTCCTACAAGCGCTGGGAAAACTCTTGTTGCTGAAATTATTGTATTAAAGCGCATTTTAGAATCTGCACTTAAAGCGTTTATCATTTTACCTTATGTCTCTGTCTCAAGAGAGAAAATGATATATCTACAAGTTAGTTTGTGGTTTCCTTCATTTTACTGCGATTTTTACGTTTTTGATTCATGAATGAGTGAATTTGACTCACTAGATTGTTGAACTTAATGTAATTTTTATAAGATTACGAGTTTTAGTGAGAGTTAATACTTAGGACTATATTAAAAGGAGTGCTATGCAATTTAATTTTAGTACACATTATTTAAACACAGCCGGTTACCTGTAATTAAGTCTTATGTTAAATCTTAATATCTACCAAATCCTATATATATTGGCCGAACGTTACTGCTACCTTAGCATGGCGGTCGGGCTTGCCTGTCATGATCAACCAAAACGGATATACTGGCTGGAACAATCGTTCCTCAAGGGCCTACCATGCCAGACAGGTCGGTTAAAAAGGGGTAAGAGTAAAAGCAGCAAACTCAAGGTCCGAGGGCGAAGTCGTACTGCTGACTGCACAGAGGTGTGACTGCAGTAAGGTGTTTCCTTCAGACAACCGGCATAACAGTGATGCTGCCTTCCCATAAGGAAAGGTGGGGTTAGAAAAGGTCGACCCTAAAGTTGCAGACCTCACCTTATCCCACGGATATCCATCTCCGGCGGTAAGGTCCCAACAAGTACAGAGCTAACACGAAAATTACTCACAAAAAGGTCGTGTGTGACCGACCTCAAGCAGTTGTCCTTTGGGCACTGCGGTCACGTTCTCGGGTTGCTGAGACGACCCATAACCCATATTTCTTTCCAGGTACCCCCAGAAGAACCCCCTAGCGGTGTGGGCAACGGTAAGTGAAAATAACTCTCATACCTCTAACATCACTCAAGATAACTGTATTCATGATCAACCTCCTCAATCCTTATTATTCCTCCTACGTCGACTTTCAACTATAAACTTCCTCTTATGTCTTCCTTCCCCAAGTGTTACCATGGCCAACGATTCTAGTGCACGAAACACTGTACCAGGTCTACTGAAACCTCGCTCCAAACTACACATTGGAGCCTTCAAAGTACGCACCCTATATCAAATCGGCCGGCAGACCTCCTTGGCTAAAACCCTAGAATCTCGTACCATTGATGTATGCCGTATCTCCAAAGCACGCATACAGGATCCTAGTATGGTCATTCACCTGACCTGACCTCGCCAAAACGGAGAGCCGAGCAGGTGACTTTAATGCCCAGGTAGATAGTTTAAACCAAACAGAAAGATGTTTGGGTGGATATTTTAGTATTCCGGCTCAGCGAACAGATAATCGTGATCGTCTACTGCAACTGTGATCAGACAATTGTTTATTTCTGACAAGCACTAATTTTAAGCATAAGGAAAGACATTGTCTAACATGGAGGCGACCCCCTGCACCAAACCAACGATAGACTCAAATAGACCATATTGTCATCAGTCATCGTTGGAGAGGCTCGATAGAAAACTGCCGCTCGTTCTGAAGTACATGTTTAGACTCTGATCATGCTTTAATACGAGCACGTATTTGCTTGCGCCTCACTGGACGCTGAAAAACCATATTAAGAAGATTCATTAGAGTTTAACTCAGCGACGAGGAAGCCAAAAGTAGATCCCAGGAACAACTAAGGTCATACTTAGGCAGTTCTAAAAACGAGGCTGACTCAGGCATTGCTTGGAAACATATACGAACATCTGTGAAAACAGCAATGACATCTATTAGTGGTTCAAATCAGACTCAGACTGTCGCACTGATTATCATAAACTCACCCCATCAGGCTCTGAACACGATGAACGTAAACAAATTAAATCTAGGCTAACCAAAAGTTAAAGGAGCGACCGTGAGCAGTGGTGGGCAACGAAAGAAAAAGAGACGAAAAAGGCAGCGGTTTTAGGTAACCCCAGACAGCTTTTCAGACTAGTAAAAGAAACTGGAATTAAGAAGTCAAATGTAAGTGATACGATCTCAGAAAAAGGCGACACCCTTATCTGCTCTAAGCCCAGACGTTTAGAACGATGAGCAGAACACTTTAAGGAGCAGTTCAGCTGGCCTTCAGCTATTCTACAACTACCCACCACTCCAAAACAGCCTGAACGGAACTTTAAAGTAGGTTCCCCGACTCTAATTGAAGTTCAAAAGACTATAGCTAATCTGAAACGAGGAAGAACGGCTGGTCCAGATAGGTAATCCAAGATGTCTTCCAGTATGGTGGTCCAGTTTTAGCGATTAGCCTGACTAGTCCCATCTGACTGGTCGCAATCACTGATCGTCCCAATATATAAGAAAGAATCAACATCATCCCATGACAACCATAGAGGGATTATTTTGACTAATATAGCATCTGAAATACTAGCCTCAATAATTATCGGACGCCTAACCAAGATTCTTGAATCGCAAATACCAGAGAACCAGGCTGGTTTCAGACCTGGTCGTGACTGCATCGACCACATATTTACCATTCGTCAGGTTTTAGAACACAGGCATACCTCTTGGTGTCTGACAATGATAGTTTATCTTGACTCAAAAGTAGCATTTGACTCTGTTGACCGAGAGGTTCTGTGACAGTGTCTGTTATTGAAACGTGTACCTCAGAAGTACAAAAACTTTGTGAAGGCTCTTTACTCGAACACTACAAGTCGATTCAGAGCTCATGGCGAACTGTCATCTGGATTTGCAACCTCAAGGTGTGTCCAGCAAGGCTATCCACTATCCCCATTTTTGTTGAATTTTATCAGAAACCTACTTATGGAAATAACGTTCTCGTCGACTGAATTTCGGGGATTTGACCTGCTACCAGGAGGTCCACTTATCGACTTAAAATACGCAAATAATATAGTCCTGTTTGGTGAAGACGCTGATAAAATGCAATGTTTTAGTAGCAGTGAGCAACAATGCCAGGTTGTTTGGGATACGTTTCTCCCCCTCTAAATGTAAATTGTCGCTTCAGTACTGGCCTGCTTCAACACCTGAACTAGGGATAGGAAGTGAAGTAGTCGAACGCGTCGACAACTTCACTTATATGTCGGAAGTCTGATCAGCCCTAATGGGTTGGTGTCTGATGAAGTCTCAGCCCGGATTCAAAACGCTCGTTTGGCTTTTTCCAACTTACGTCACCTATGGCGAAGGCGAGACTTCCGTCTATCAATTAAGGGACAAGTATACTGTGCGGCAGTTCTTACTGTTCTAATTAACGACTGCGAAACGTGGTCATTAAGGGTAGAGGATCCCCGTAAGTTACTAGTATTCGATCACAGATGTCTTGGAAATATTGCTCGCATCTTCTATAGTCAGTGGGTAGGTAATAGTGAGGTTAGACTCAGGGTATTAGCGAATGATGGTAAGTCAGTTGATGAGATTGTGAATCTTCATTGACTGAGATGGCTGGTTCATGAACACCGATTACCACGGCGCGCGATGCTTACCAGGGTTGGCCATTAACTTCTAGTCTGAGCCATGTTGATGGATGTAGCCACTTGGTTGGGGTTAGCGTGACTATCGTAACCACTGGATGGGGAATCGATCACAATGGCGTGGGTGTATATACTCTCTCTCTTCCCTTAAACGGTGAGATTAAAGTTACTATATCTTTATTCCTCAGGCTCCTTACAACTCATTGAAGCCCGTCGGTCTACTCCGGGTGACCGTGAGTTTGACCACAAACGAAGGCTGTTACGTAATGAAATCGGGCAAAGCTTGCGTGTGAACCCAGAAGCCTGGTGGTCGGTGCGTGCTAATGAGCTGGAAGCAGCAGCTGCATCTGGTAACTACCGGAATCTCTTCCAACTCATCCGAGTCGCTGGCAGCAAGAAGTCTGGTGTGAGCGAAACAATTTGTGAGGATGACGGGATGCCAATCACTAACATCCATCGATGTCTTGGACGATGGGCAGAATTTTTCGAAGGACAGTTCAACTGGCCTGCTGCTCCGGCAACTTCGGTCAGACTGTCCTGCCCTCCATAGCCGGTGACGACTGATCCACCAAATGACGCGGAAGTCCACAAGAAACTCCAACTCTTGAAGCGCTACAAATCACCTGGCCCAGATGACTTACCTCCGGCTCTTTTTAAAGATGGTGGTGACTTTCTGACTAAGGAACTGACAACGTCGTTTACAAAAGTCTGGGAGCTAGAGAGCGTACCAACGTCATGGAATGAGTCGATAGCTGTCCCTATCTTTAAAAAGGGTTCACGTTGTTCCTGTAACAACTATGGGGGATAAGTCTACTTCCGATTGCGTCCAAGCTATTGGCTCCCGTCATACTTCGTATGTTGTTCAAAACCCGAGAAAGATTGACTCGCGAGGATCAGGCTGGGTTTCGTTCTGGTCGAGGATGTATTGATCATATCTTCACCCTCCGCCAAATGTTAGAACACCGTCATACTTATCAAAGGCCAACAATCGTAGTGTTTCTTGACATCATGGCTGCCTTCGATTCGTTGGACAGGACTGTCCTCTGGGATTGTCTATTGAAGAAGGGTGTGCCTGAGGAGTTTACTAACATTCTAAAGGCCCTATATACAAACACCTCAGGCAGAGTGAGGGCATACAACCACCTCTCTCCATTGTCCCATTCGAGCAGTGGGGTTAGGTAGGGTTGCCCAATCTCACCATTCCTCTTCAACTTTGCCATCGATGACATTCTGGAAACAGCTCTGATGGGTGTAAATAGTGGTGGTGTGGATCTGTTGCCTGGAGAAAGACTTCTCGACCTTGAGTATGCGTATGATATCGTCTTACTGTGTGATAATGCATAAGGCATGCAATCCGCACTTAATCAGGTGGCAATCAATGTCCGTAAGTATGGTATGTGCTTTGCGCCTTCGAAGTGCAAAGTACTTCTACAAGACTGGCAGGATTCTAATCCTGTACTCACGATGGATGGTGAGTAGATAGAAGTAGTCAAAAGTTCATGTATCTAGGTAGATACATAAATGCTGGTGGTGGCGTGCGTGATGAGATCAATGCACGTATAGTGAAAGCCAAAGCGGCTCATGCCAATCTGGGCCATGTTTGGCGCCTTCGTGATGGTAGTCTGGCTGTGAAAGGTCGGCTCTACAACGCGTCGGTGAGAGCAGTTTTGCTCTATGCTTGTGAAACCTGGCCTTTCCGAGTTGGGGATTTTAGACAACTCTGTGTTTGGTCATCGTCGTCTCCGAAGGATTGCTGCCATCCAGTGGCAACACCATGTTAGTAATGCAGGGGTTCGGCATCGTGTTTTCGGGCGCAGAGACGATAATTCAATTGGTGTCACCATCTTGAAACATCAACTTTGGTGGCTTGGACATGTTCTACGAATGTCATCCCAGAGGATTCCTCGTCGTGCATTATTTGCCGACGGTGGGACTGGTTGGAAAAAGCGGAGAGGTGGTTAGTGTATGACATGGTGTCCTGGTATGAAAGAAAGTTGCAAAGGGCTGACTTGTGTTGGTCCTTCACGACTCCCTAGCTGGGATCAGAAAGATGGTGCAACACAGTGGCTAGAGACGTTATCAGATATGGCTGAGAATAGAAGCCAGTGGCGATGATGCTGTAACCTTTTACTTTCTCCATAAAAAGTGGTTGTATCTTCCTTAACTGAAAGAATTGTTTCTGGTTGTACCTTTCCATTTGCTCCATTATTATTATTTTTTTCATTATTATTATTACACTACCTTACACTAATCTGTTCGTCACTGTTCTTTTTTTTGCTCTCCTTACCTTCTTTTTTTCCTCTTCGAATTCTCGTTGTTTTGTGTGGCGCATATATAATAGGTGTCGCTTGTACCAATATTTATGTGTTCAAATAAATAAATAAAATATACCTTTATTTCTACGAACGAATCTTTTCTCCCTGTATCATATCCTTATATGAAGTCTTTTTATATTACTTCTACTGATATAACTACTTTATATCTTTGGTGTTAATAAGTTGTGGCAACTTGAACTGATGCATTTATGTGCCTGATCTTACGTTGTAAAATACTGACTGACTGGTATCTATGTTGATTTGTATAGTTAGTCAAAACATTTTTTTATTTGCTTCCTTTATATGCTTCTTAGAAACTTTTTAACAATTTGGGCATTCGTGTTGGAGGTTATATGGCTGGCCATAGTCCACCTGGAGGATTATCTGCTATCAATGTAGCTGTTTGTACGATTGAAAAAGCGAATAGCTTAGTTAACAGATTAATTGAAGAAGAACGTTTGGACGAATTAGGTATGTAGATACGCTATATAACTTCTTTGGAGGAAATCTCGTTTTAATTGGAGATGGATGATGGCTGATAATAGGATTTAGGACACTCGTTTCGTCCTAATCGTTACTCGTCGGCCGCATGTATCTGCATCTCATAGTTGATGTTCACTCCGAAACTTGTACTCAGCACCGTTTGCTCCAAACGTCATCTCCTTATCCACTTAGCTTATGAGTCCAGATAGCCACCAGGTTGTGCAATGGGGTGAAGTCCGATTCATTTTTGTGTTGGTTGTTTGAATCTTCTCATTGACATTTAGGATTGCAGTAGATCAGTATCCTTTCGGAACAGGATGCACCAATCGATTTCAATTCTACACGTCCATGGGGAGATTCACACAACTAATACAAAGATGGATTAAATCTCTTTTCTTTATTAGCTATAAATCAGAACAATTTTGCTAGTACAGTAAATTTAGATTAATAGTTTTGTTACGTGTTTTACTGTTTAATTTTTGAGTAGTGTGTATTAAAGTAATGGTCAAAGCAGCTTTCTCATAACAGTTGTTTCTAGTCGGCTTCTTTTTTAGTTTTATGATCCAGTTTAAAACAAATTATAAATTATAACTCTTGATGACAGTCAATTTCACAACTGACAAGTTATTATCCTTTCACATTTATGCTCATAAATGTATGAAGTTTATAAACAGATTGTTTGTTCTTGCTTTCATTTATAAATAACTCGTAATTTTTAATGGTTTTGTAGTGAATGAGCACGCATTGGGCAATCGAATGTATTTAAATACAAAATTACAGAACATCTTAGTAAAATCTGAGAACTATACAGTAAATACTTGATTTGCAAGATGTCAATCAATCATCTCAGACTTCATTGTTCTTTCGTTTCAACACCAATCATTCTCTGTTCTCGCTCTCCTGTCTTCGATCTTCTTAACCTTCTGCCGCCAGGCGTTTCACTTTCGATTGATAATACATACTACTTATATCTGTCAACATCAGTAGCACACACCACAGTTTCATCTAGATGTGAAGTATGAGTAGTGGATTAAAATCCCTTGTTAGTTATCGAAATTTAGGGATTAAGACTGTATCATTGCTTTGTACGTTAAACTTCACTTTGTTACTGGATCGTATTTTTTCTGCTTTCATACAAGATATTTTATGATGTATATAAACGTTGTATTATCTATCATTTGGTTAAACCGAAAGACTTATATCTCACAAAATGTACTCCTTATGACCATGTCGTTTTCTTTATATAGAGGGACAATTTCTATCTGGAGGTTTACTTGGCAAATAGTACCAGATGATCTCACTAGTAATGTTTATCAATAGACTTAAGTGGGAGTTTTATTCTAACACAAAATCCTAATTCACTTTATTTATTTCGAAAATTTTGTTTACTCAATTGACTTTGGATTTTTATTCGTCTAACTTTTAACTTTATATTTCTAATAAAAATCTACGTATAATTTTAAGTAACATGTATTGTTTAACTGGAACATTTATTTTTATAAATTTGATTTTTAGGTATTGTTGTCGTCGATGAACTACATCTTATCGGTGACACTCATCGTGGTTATTTATTGGAGTTGTTGTTGACAAAATTACTTTTTTATTCACGTCGTATATCGAATTTCAAACATACAAATGAAATTAAAATTTTAGAAAACTCTCAAAGTTCATTAAATAAATGTTGTGATTCTAAAGCCTATGGTATCCAAATTGTTGGTATGAGTGCTACATTGCCAAATCTTAAATCGCTTGGACAGTGGTTAAATGCTGAAGTTTATATTACAAATTTTCGTCCTGTCCCACTAACTGAATTTATATTGTCTTGTGATTTACGTTCGAAAACAAATCAGTTTTATAAAATTGTCAAATCTGCTAGTAAAGATGATAGCTCTACTCAACAACTGTTGTCGGAGTAAGTGAGCGTAATGTGTAGTTTATTGATTCTTTTGTGACACACCACTCGATTTCTATTAATATCAGAGTATATGAATTGGTAATATTGCTCATTCTAATGTGTGTGAGACTATCATTACTTATTTGCATAGTGTATAACTCTTGTGTATCAAAATGTCCTTGTCTAATTGGTTGCATTATCAGTACTCTGTGATTCAAGTGATTTCACTACAACATGATTATTAATTAAACAGCAAATTCGGTTCAAAATCTAGTTCATGTATCTCTTTTATTAAAGTGGTTTGAAACAATCCTAAGCAGTCATTAAACCTTACATCACTCATCAAGTCGTAATCCATAACAACGTTTGCCGCAATTCGATTTTTTGCTCATGTTTTAAGGTTTAAAAATGCCGATTAAAAGTTTGGTAATGCTGAGTATGTGAGGAAGGGCCAATCGGGAATGAACAAGACTCTTCGAGGTCTCAATGTACGTATCGAAACAGTATGTTATCTGTCGAGGTGAATGGTTTTAATGATGAATATATCATTAAACGGTCAATGTTGAAAATAGGGTTTAAGGTTTACGATTAAGATTTAGAATTTAGGGTTCGAGTTAGGATCAAGGTTTTGGGGTTAGGATTTAAAATTAAGACGTAGACTAGGATTAAGACCTTATGGTTTCCTCTTATCTGACTAATTAGGTCGTATGAATGATTGTTGTCAAAATATACATCGTGGCTATCTTCGTATATTTTTATCGACTTAACTCGCGTTAGTGAATAACGGAATAAAGTGAGTCAAATATCAGATTAGGTTTTTGAATACGCATATTTTGTACACTCATTAGTCAGGACAGATAATCAGAGGAATGAAGCGAAGCTGAATGACGTTCAGTGGAGATGGCTTGTGCGCCAACTCCATTTAATTAAGCGTTAATCAATATTTACAGTCACACAAAAATAAACTGCAGACATGAGATGTGTGGGATAAGATAAACACACATACGCTCATATAAAAAGTCAGGGCTGATAAGTGAATTATTAACAAGACCAAAACGTGACTCAAGAAGCATCAATCGACTGGCCTGTCCAGAAGCCCAAATAAGTTATGTGGGCTTAACATAGTAACCGACACTACAACCTCATATAGACTAACTGTAAGACCTAATCTCAATCCTAAATGATGCAACCCATTTCCTAGACGCTAACCCTAACTAGATTCAAACACGAAACTGTTCATTCGAGTCTTTACTCTAAATCTCAGCATTATAAATCATACATTCATATATACTGATTTAATGGAGTCTTGTTTCTAACCTTCTTCCTCGTCTAGTTCATTTTCACTCCTTTTTATTCCTTTGCTTTTATTTTTTTCTTAACATCTATTTGTATAAATTTAGATGTTTAGAGCCTGCTGATAACTTACCTTTGGATCCTCAATTAACTTCTGATACTGAACTAAATATGATCGATGAAGATGGTGTGTTTGCTTTGTGCTTTGATACACTTTTGAATGGACATGGTGTGTTAGTATTTTGTCCAACTAAACAATGGTGTGAACAATTAGCGGATACAATGGCTCGTCAAGTCAGTCAACTTCGATTGTTACTTTAATATCTAGTTAAGTGTTTTTCCCTCTTGTTTTCTTACTTATAAATAAAAAAATAAACCTCCTAGGCATTAACCAATGATTTATAGTTATTCCAAAGGTCCTAGAACTGATGTGTGGTAATCCCAGTATCCAAGTCTTTTAACAGAACGAGGTAAAAATAAATACAGAGGAATGTAAATAAACAATATTCGAAACGTAAACATAAAGTTTTATCGGAACTACCAAATGATATCATGAAGTGGGGAGTGTGCTTTAATACTACATTGAGAATTTAGAAGATAAAGAAGTAATTGTGCCATTGTGATTGATTTTAAACCATAATATTTACTAGATGTAAACTTTAAAGTATTAAAATTCGAAATCTTTTTTCAGCAACTGGTAGTTTATTTCAGAAAGTGTATAATCTTCGATATCGTCAATTTAATTGATACTGCTCCTTATTTACAGTGAACACTTTTCCCATACATGCATTTTGTGCTGTAGATTTTCATTCTCACACAATCATACTTCTCAGCTTCACATCAAAACGACCATAATCCATCTGATGCGAATATCGGAAATTCGACTTACAAAAATTCAGATGATCATTCAGTACAATCAAATATTGGAACGCGTTTAGCATTACAGTTGGATCGGGTTGGTCTTGTCACTTGTGTAGAGCAATTAAAACGATGTCCAGCTGGTCTTGATACAATTTTAGCCAGATGTTTAGGTTATGGTGTGGCTTTTCATCATGCAGGTTAGTAAAAATTTGTAACAAATTTTAATATGTGATCATCAACGTTTGTAGGAAATGTTCAATACTTATACATTTGCAAGTAATGTAGACTTTATGGTAACAAAACTTTTGTATAAATTAGGTTTTTTTGGTAAAATGTTCATAATTTTCCTTCTGTCGTAGTGAAAAATGGTTGAACACATGAGAACACGATGTGTGAATGTGTTCGTGTTCTCATGTGTTCAACCACGATGTGTGAATCAACAATGTAGGCATGTTCGGCATGTGATTCCCCCCCTAGAAACCCAAAATGTTGCTTCAGGATTGGGTTGCATCGACACCCGAACTAATGATAGGGAGTGAAGTAGTTGAGCGTGTCGACCGCTTCACTTATCTTAGAAGTCTCATCAGCCCTTGTGGTCTGGTGTGTGACGAAATCTCAGCACGGATACACAAGGCTCGACTAGCTTTTGCCAATTTGCGTCATTTATGGCGTAGGCGAGATATCCGTCTATCAACCAAAGTACGTGTTTACTGCGCAGCAGTTCGTTCCGTCCTACTTTATGGCAGTGAAACGTGACCGGTAAGAGTAGAGGATATTCGTATGTTACTAGTTTTCGATCATAGGTGTCTTCGAAACATTGCTCGTATATCCCTGAGACAATCGAGTAAGTAACGCAGTTGTTAGGAAAGGGGTACTAGGTAAGGATGGCAAATCGATTGATGAAATAGTAAAACTTCATCAGTTGAGATGGCTGGGACACGTGTTACGTATGCCCAACGACCGACTGCCTCGACGTGCGATGTTCAGTGGTATAGGAGTAGGTTGGAAGAAAGCTAGGAGCGGCCAGACCAAAACATGGCACAAGTCCATGAAGTCACTGACAAGTGGACTGAGTCATGTTGGTAGGTGTAGACTACCTGGTTGGGGACAGCGAGATGATAGCAACCGATGGTGAGAGACCCTGAATGACATGGCTCAAAATCGTTTGCAATGGCGCAGGTGCATCCACTCTTTGTGTTCTCCCAAATTTTAATCCCCTGGTTCCTCCTCGTCTCTTTTTTCTCTTCCCAGATCTATTTCACTGGATTATACTCTTTAAATAACATCTCCGAACCCCAATCTTCCCGATTACTGCTTATACTCTTACTACCTCTACCACTATGGGATTTGAATCGACCACTGCATCTCGGTGCTAATGTGGTATGACAACTCGAACTGATGTACGTATGTACGAAGTTCTAGGTTGTTACTGACTGACTGATTGTGTGAATACTCTATGGCATAGCTCATTTTGATAGATATACAATTGGTCATTCCTAAAGTTTATGTAAATTGTTTGGCAAGCAGTAAAATGATTGTATCTATTTTTCTTTTAATATAGCGAAAATCTTCATTTTGACATTCAATTTTTAAAAAAGAACAAATAAAGCGGAGAAATTTCTTTTCAATCGGTGTTTTTAATGATGGCTCTACATTCATTCAACTTACATTTATGATTCAAAACAATGAAATACTTTTTTCTCCCTAAACTTTTTATGTCATTAAGATAATTATTCGATTCAACCTGATCTTTACATAATTAACCTCCATTTACTATTATCATAGATTTTCTCATTTATTGTAAATTGTTCAAACTGAAAATAAGTATTTGTTTAACACTCCTTAATGTTGACTGAAGATTGTTTTATTTTATCATTCACTTAATTATTCCTCATTAATATCGATAGTGTAATTAGATGGGAGATGTGGTTTGAAAAATCTGTCATATGTTCACGTCATCAAATTGTGTAGTTACTTATACTCGTCAAGGCATTTATATATGAAAATTCATGACCTTTAATTAAATAAATGGTCAAATAAATACAAATTGATCATTGGCAATGATGTATGAAAAGAATTGGAGTTATTACACTGTTTTAGGCATAAAAGCGAATTTAATATTTGCACGAAAAATTCAAGTTTACAATAAACCGTTTCTATAAATTCAAAGAAAGCTTAAATTTTTAACTCTCAGATCAAATCGTCTTTTCACTACGCTATCAAAATTTATAAAATAGGACAATGGTTTTAAAAATCTTAATCAAAGAATTCATCTTGATTTTATCATTCATGACTTGAAGAATATAGGCATATGGAAATCATTAGTTTCTGTTTGTGAAGTTATAAATCATAAATTTATGGCTGAACTGGGTAAACCATTCGGATTGTCTTAGTTATTGAGTTACAGGTTTGAAATCTGTCACAAGTACTGTACAATTACTTCCTCACACACCTATAAAAATCATCTGTGGAACTACTTTAATTTATGTCTAGCCACGTATAAAACTTGAGGTTTTATTTTTATGACAATTTCATATCTACCTCAGTAGGCAGGTAGTTCGACATTCTCAGTTGTACATCATCTAGAAAACCTTTACAAGGCATTTTACAGCGGTTACACCTTAGTTCGAAGGTCCTCAACAACTTTCATTCAAAAATCAAAAAAGGACTGACGAGGGAGATATTGGGATTTGCAGAAAACATGTTATAATCAGATAAATAAGCTTAAATCTTATCCATGAATTGTGGAAGTACACTGGGGTTGGTATCTCGTAAGTTTATGAATGCACTTTACTAGGTTTTCATTCGTTTGGTAAGTTTTATCAGTCTATGGTGAAGACAAAATTCAAAACTGAACAAATCTGTATAAATCAATTATCTGGATTTTGTATATTCAGATTAATTCTAATATTGATTGTTTGGTTTTAGAAGTTATTAATTTTTTTATGTACATAGGTCTTACAGTCGAAGAACGTGAGATTATTGAATTTGGATTCCGTAAAGGTCTTATTCGTATTTTAATTACTACATCTACATTAAGCTCTGGAGTAAATCTACCTGCTCGTCGTGTTATCATTCGAACACCATTATTTCATGGAAAAGTTTTAGATTTTCTCACTTATAAACAAATGTCTGGTCGAGCAGGTCGTCAAGGTGTAGATACTAGTGGTATGTTTTCATATGATCTTATTAATATATTGCTACTCATATTGTGCATTTAAATCCTGGTGTACCAATCTTCTTAACTTCTGTTTTACAATTATTACCATTCACAGTGTCCATTAATGTTGTTGTGGGCTGAGATTTGACAAGCACGTGAGTTTTGAATTGGTAAAATAAATGAATCGAATGCTGACTAATAGCTAATGTACAATGATACAAAGTACAATTGAGTGATTGTTGGTTATGTTACGGAATTATTGGCGTAATCACCCATTTAAACTTATATCAGGAAACAGGACAACTCCCCAGCGGATTAGACCATTATATTAGTCTGCCCATGCACAAAAATCCTCCAAGTATGATATCTGAATTTCTGACTAGAGTTTTTGTGGCAGTGGTTATTATTTTTCGAAACCTGTGTAATATTCTGTAGTCTTGTGTTTTAACTGCTACATGCATCATAAATGTTGCTTAAGTATATATGTAACGTGATTGAACGCGTTTGTAAGTCATTTAATTTTAAATTATTGAATCCTGGTTTTGAACTTCGATCCTCTAACGCTTTTGTTTCAGACACCGGACAATGTCTCTAGCTCTCACCAAAAACATCTCATGAATATTGACTTAGTTATTGAGTTGTATTTCATCTACTTTAAAATACGCCTATCACCTATATAATTTTTAATACTTCAATTGTCCTTCGAGAAATTAGAGTATTTGTTGAAAGTGTGTGTGGGAAAACACGCTTTTGATTAGTCATAAAGCAAAGGAAGTGAGGTTAAAACGAACACATTTTATACCGTTAAAAATATCATTCCGTTTTTCACTAATCACCTTTACTAATGGGTGTCGTTTCGATAGTCGCCCTTATTAGTGTGAACCCCATGGATGGGCACTGCTAAAGATCCCCACACTAGTCGTCTAGTGCTTCCTGGTTGCCAATATTTGTTTGGCCAAAATCAATCCGTGATGTAAAACAAAGTTCAATAATATCTGAAAAGTCTATGATAACAAGTTAAAATATTTGAAGCGGGATTTTGACTTAATGAGATTCAGGTGCTTACACCAATAAATCGCCTCTCTCAAAACATTCTTGAGAGTTGTGACTTCCGAACGACTATCTCCTCCAATGTATTCATTTTATTTCATGTGTCTTTAAATTTATTCACGTGTTTAACTTAGGTCAAAGTATTCTATTGTGTAAATCAAAAGATCTGGGACGTGTTCGTCAACTGATAATGAACGGTATGCCACCTGTGAATTCATGTTTGATGGGTGACGGAGGTAGCCCTGAATCTAGTCTAAAACGTGCTCTGCTCGAGGTTTGTACATGTATATATATATATATATATATATATATATATATATATATTTGATTATTGTTTTGTTATCGTTAAATTTACGGTTTATTTGCGTCTGATTAGAGAAAAAACAATAAAAACAAACTTATCTATTCACGTAAAATACCCATTGTTTTCATTTGTTATTAGTACATTTTACATGAAACTTAAGAAACTGGTTAGGTACACATATTTCAGTTTAATATTTTCATACATATATCTACAAGGCTAATGAATACCATTTATACTGTTCAATAATCAGTCGGAAATCTTTCCGAAATTATTCACCACTATGGTCGTATAAGCTATAAAAACTTCCTCTTTTGTGTTTCAGTTTAACCTCATTTGAGTACAGAAATTTAAATCTTAGACCAATATATCAATCAGACATGTTAAAAATTGGAAAAGAATGCCTTCTTCAACTCTCCGCTACTGATTTAGAGTTTTGCAAGTGATTTTAATCTTAGCTTGGTTATTGAGTTTGATTTTTTTAAACATCCTGTTGAGCCAATATGAATTCAATTAGTTCAGAACCAAATTCTAACTACTAAAATGCATCCAATAATCAGGTAATTCGTGAAATGCTCTGTAACAGAACCTATGGATAACACTGAATGATGATCATGCTGCTACATTATAAAATAAAAAAGTTAGAAATATATGGACCATTAGATTTCAACTCGTCATTGTAAGGTGTTTTGCTCTTCACCAGTCCTAATTGTTTTGATCTTAGTTTTTCCATTTAAGTTAATTGTATTCTTTATTTCTGAAACCATTATATTATATAAACGCTTGTTAGTTATTTCTGCTAAAAATCTGATAATAAACCTTGAAATATCGACTTCCGTAAGCCACCAAACTTTAGCAGGTTTCATTACTTCTGCTATGAAGTACTTTAGATTGATACAGACTCTGCTCATTGGCTGAGAAGTGGATCAAAAACTACACGATTGCCCGAAGAATCTCTCGAACTTTACACTTTTTTTAGCTGTTGTTATTTATATTATTATTGTATAATTTCTAGGTCATCGTAAATGGATTTGTAGAAACATTAGCTGATGCTTTACTGTACTTGTCTAGTACATTATTGGCAACAACTGTTACCTGGGAAAAATTAAACGAATTTAATAATTCTCAATCACCTTCCACTAAAAAAAATCGACGACGTTCTCTTCGTTTGTCTCAACCTAAAACTTATTCTGAAAATGAAATTAATGGTGATGATGATAATGAAAACAATAATAATAATCGATTCACAGTTCAGATGAAACGCTTATTGTTCACATGTATTAAAGACTTGCAAAAGCATGAATTTATCTATATTGATCAGTCTACTTGCCTAAATTTGTCTAA